TACTTATCTTCTTACAGTATAATGCATTTGTATTTACTTGACACACTTTAGAATTTTCCGCACCATTCATTAATCATAATCAATTATGACAAAACTGACCTTAATATAATATGATATAATTCAAATACATTATATAAGGTTAATTATTATGTCAGATTACTGTATACTGGATTACGTTACAACCTATCAGTATCGAACATGATTATACCGTTTGTTTACAATAAAACAGCTCATTTATGCATAATTTTCATCACCTTAAGTGAAGTATTGTACATATTATAATACAGATGTATATGTATTCGAGTTTTTTTTCATTACATCACTTAATAAAGGAATATACGATATTTGTTTTATTAAATCATTCAAAAACCTCCAAGAGGTTCTTTTTTAAAACTTGACCTTTATTTTGAGGTTAAGCAATTACAAATATTATTAATCCGATTAAGTTCCATGTATATGTGAAAGAAAAACAATCACTTGGAAATAATGATCAACCAATATTGATTATAGGAAGATATTTTTTTACTCATACTTATCTTGAAATGGTGGAAAAGATTTGTAGCTCAGGTGAATGATTTTGATGGAGTTTTGTTCTCTGAGCTGGATGGTTTGGTCCGAAACCATCCAGCTCAGAGAACAAAACTCCATCAAAAACTCACAATTAGTGACAGAAAATACAATTTCGTGTTTATATAGAAACCAATCATTTTTGCTAGAATGATTTATAAGACAAGTTTTAAGTCTTTTTTATTGAAAAAACTCTTTGTATGATTTCTATCAAGAAATAGGATAAGGAATTTTCTGAGTGTATTTTTGTTTTTACGTTACATGATATTTTGCGTGACTCAATGTTATTTAGAAAGTATTTTGTATAATACCAAAAACTACAAGCATATGATGTGTAAGCTTTTAAAACGGATTAAGTTATCCTTAGTATATTCTGTATATCACATATTCATAGGGTAATAAGTAAATAACGTATAAATACATGAGTTATTTTATACCGAATACAAGTTTTAAGGATTTCTTGTAGTGTTGGTTGCTATGGTAAGCCCATATAGCTTATTCTACCTCTCGGACAGATCAATTTATTCATTCTTTTGATTCCCATTTTGACTTCGTTATTTATTTGCTTGTCAATCTTGACTGATTTTATACGAGCGTATGTGTGTGCATTTCTTATCCTACTCATCATATATCTGTAACTTACTTTTGTTTGACTATAAATATTGAGTCACCCATGATTAAATTGAGTTAGGTTACATGCCTTCTCCACCGTCCATCATTTTGCTTCGTTCTCTTCTCTTGATTTCCTTTTCTTTATCTCTTTGAGTGTTTGTTCAGATCAACGATTGTACAAAATATACGTCTTCAAAACTTCATTTGCGTATTTGACTTATTTTATTCATTTATTCACCAACGTGAGTTAAGTCGATAATTATATACAAGGATTGGCGACGTGTATATATAGATAACAATCATTCCTCCAATCTAACTGGAGTCAGATATTTGACGGCCACAAAATGTTTTACGGAGTATGATAGTCAGTTTTTTTGTAAAATTCATAACAATCGAAATAATAAATTTCAAATTAAGTATTAGTAAAAATTATTGCTATTGAAATAGTTCATGATTATTAAAAGATGCATAAAGATTGCAAATTAAATAAAATTAATGACGAATATCCTTGTTCCGGTCAGCAACTTAATTCTGTACACTATTGTTGTTGTATATCGACATGTTAATACGTTTAGTCAAAATTACTCAAGTATAAATGTTCGGAACCACATTGGAAAAATAATAAACTTATTATTAAATGGCATCATGTAATTCATTAGAATTCAGTTGGTCACCGTTAGACAGATATCGCAAACCAAATATGAAAATAATGACTTAAACGCTGTTTATTGCTTCACTTGATGTATACTTTGAGATAACTCACATATTTGAAGAGTTTCAGATCGTCTATCAATATCTTTGTTTGTTTTATTAAATCACTGTTATTCAACGCTTCATCTACCCTGTACAAATAACTTAGTTTATCAATTATTATAAGTTGGAACACTTTATAAAGACCATTATAAATAATGGTGTTAATGAGCATGCTGACAAACTACTCAACCAAACGATGATGTAAAACTTCAGAATCCTAAGATAGTAAGTAAATGCCGATAACATGTCATTTATGATAAGTTGTTTCAACTAAAGGAATAATAAGTAATGCATGCAAATTCAAGTTATAAGTCCAAAAACAGCGTGTTAACCAGAGTGAATTACTAAAGATTGACTGTCAGTACCATAGAGACGCATAAGTGAAACAACAGTATATCTTAAATATTGACATTATCTGGTTTGATGTTAGGGTATTACATCCTATTCTGTCGAACCTAATAGACAACAAACCTTTCGAACCGTTGTCTCAAAATATTAATTCAGTAACTGTTTCTGTGTTCCAGTTGACAACAAAAATGAACGATTTCTAACACAGTGACTATTTGAAATATAATATTGATATATAAGGTTAATAAGAATTTTACCACATAACAATTTTTTAATGTAGAATTATTTTACATTTTAGAAATAACTAATGGTTTCCCAAGAAAACACTCCAACAAAACTACGTTATGGATGCCAAAATGTTACTATTACTCCATTGGATATACACTTTGGGAATTATTTTAATTACTCAAACTTTTATGGTAATACAGCAGTTTGGAGATCGATACTACTATTAGTATGTTTCAGTTTTTTTGAGAAATAAATACTGGATTGCTAACAAAACAAGTTTCTATGCATGGTATTTCCTACTGTGGAACTCCTCAGCAGTGCGCATCCACGATCCCGCCCCACAGTAGGACGAAACGGCCATCCAGTGCTTCCAGGTTTCCCATGATGGTCTAGCTTCAATCGACTCGTGATCTCAAGTATTAAATTACTATGATATCCACAAAACCCCTTCTGACATTATTTATGTAATAGTAATGATTATTTTAAGGAAACTTTGTTACAAAGTTTGAATATATAAGAACAAACATAATATCATGAATTTCATGTCTATTTTAAATAAAGGTGTCACATTTTGTAGATTACATAAATAAAATATATAAACCAAGTATTAGGTTTGAAAATCATTCTTCTAAAGATCCCTTAAAACCGGATTATAAACCCGACTTCTCCAGTGGCTACTTTAGTATGAAATAATTTTACATTATATACCAATAGTGTGAATGATCATAAATTTCATTATTTATGGTGAATAGTTACTTCATTTGATAGACATTAATTTATAAGGAAAATAAACAATGTTTTGAACAGCATAGAAGGCAATAATAGTTCACGTTTTGCAGTTTCAGTGGATATACTTTCTACATAAAAAGAAAGCTTATAGTATAAAGTGACGAAATAGCTTTGTACATATAAACTGATAAAAAAACGTGAATAAGGAAAGTATTATAATGAAAGTATGGAATTCACTTATTTAGGACGTAAGACCAGTGTCATCACAGGAAGATAATTGCATAATCTCACTAATTGTCTGAAGTTATAAATGTGAACGACTGGATGAAAAACTAGTTGTTTGTATTTAAATTTCTTGATAAGAAGCATGACAGTCTTGAATTCAGTGCCAGAAGACGTGGTGAAAGATCACTCCCACAGACTTCTATACTTTTACGTAATACTGGTTCACTTTTATCTCGTTTTAAATCAATATGTTTCAAGTCAATATGTGACCTGAACTACAGGCCTTCTACAGTAAAAAAATTTCATATTTACATCTACAAACCACATATTGACCCTTGTCCTTTTATCAAAGACTGAATGTGAAGATTCATCAAGGTTAATATTTTTTTGTTTTATCTTTATGAACTCAATTTTTCTACCAACTAAAGTAATTTTACCATTGGATATCAGCCCAACAGTCTGAAGTTTGAGCATTTGCACGCGAGACCGAAGGCCTTGGTTACGAGACCCTCCTGCAGGATTACGAATGCGCACTGTTGAGGAGTCCTATACAAGGTGGAAACAGCCGTCTATTTCTTCAACGATTTCCGTGGTGGTCTAACACTGATCGGTTCACTATCTCGATTATAATTTTACTTTATCTGAAATCGAATTCAAATTACTTTTTTGTGATACATCCAACTTCATATTTGAAAATGCATAAATATTATAACTTATTGATTAGTTCTGATTTATCCAAACTTGAAGAACAAGAATATCAGTAAAATCGTCAATTTTTAACGGCTTTTTCATCAAGAAATAATGTTCTATAACTGGAATAGACTTTCATAAAAATTGAAATGAATAGTAAACGGATACAAACATTTTACTCACTTTTTCTTCAAATTTAATAAACAAATCAATCATATCAAAATAATTTTATATTTTTATTACTATTATCAATATGCGAAAAGTGTGGAATATGAAGCTATATCCGTTTCATATGTTGTATAATGGAGAGACAATTGTTTAAAACAATAATAATTAGGATCATAAATCATTTGAAGCTAAACCATCATGATCTCAACTATTAAAATTACTATAACAATATCCACAAAACTCCTGATAATAATCAATGTGTGCTCACCAATGACTGGCTCCATGAAGTCCTTTCCGGATTCTAGTGAGAAGCAGTGATCAGTGGAGTTCAACCAGGTCTGTTGGGAGATAGTATTTTACTGAAGACAATGGTGGATGTGTCACCCAATTTCGTGGATCGTTTGAAGTTAGGCATTAATACCGTTGGATGCCGGCTTAGTGGTATAGAGGTTAAGCGCTCGCACGCGAGACTGAAGGTCCAGGGTTGAAATCTCGCGAAGAGGGATCGTGGGTGCACACTGCTGAGGAGTCCCACAATAGGACGAAATGAACGTTGAGTGTTTCAAGTTTTTTTATAGTGGTTTAGCTTCATGTGATACATGATCCCAACTATTAGAATTGCTATAATAATATCCACAAAATCCCTTTTAATAAAACAATTAAAACACTTAAGTGTGATCAAGTTTTTATTATTAGTATTATTTATTACAATGACCATTTCTATGTTCTTTTTACTACATTTTAACTGAAAGCAATAAAGTGATATTCAATATTTAAATGATTAAAATCAAGGAAATTCAACAGAGAATATAATAAAGATGGAAAGTTTACATTTGTATAGATTGATAGATAAAATTATAGATAACATTGTTCTCTTCTTATTTCTTTCCTTTCTATAAATCAATTTCCAGAAATCTGATTGAATGATTTCATTTTAACCAATCAAATAAATGTCAGTTATTAACTAAAGTTTTTTTTTAAAAAAAGAAATTATGTAAAGAAAAATAAATTTGTGTCATTTTTATTACAACTAACTTAACTATGAAAAAAGTGTTTTTTTTGTTGTTGAATGGAACCAAAAATACAAAATACAAAAAAAGGAAGCAAACAGGCAAACAAAACAAATGGTTTATCTTTATCATTATTTGTTTAAACATAAAATATTAATGTTATAATTTTGATAGAAATATTTCATATAAGATTCAAATGACAACAATTTCTTCCTCTACAATTCCATCAACTACATTAAGTAATACATATTCTCCTCCTCCCCCTCCTCCTACTACTACTAATACTACTACTACTACTAGTAATAATAATAATACTTGTATAGCAACTACATTACCAAATACATTTCATTCATCTATTCAATCTAATTTATTAGATAATCGTTATATATTTGATATACATAATACAACAAATGATTCCATTGAAAATCAATTATATACAGTTGATCATTTAATTAAATCTACATCAATGAAATCCAAATCGAAACGTTTAGAAAAACATGTTACATTATCAGATGAAATATTAGATATCAATTTTCCACCATTTTTACAACATCATTATATTAAATCTAATGATTATTATAATAAATTTAATATTGATAATTTAAATAATAATAATAATAATAATGAGAAAAATATAACACTGACAGAACATAATTATCCATTATCCATGAATCCAACTATACCACATATGTCAACGGATAAAATAAGTACAACAAGTCTTGGAAGTATGGTAAAATATTGTACAGATAATTATGGTGAGTTATTAATTGTTAGTATAAGAACTTTTGTTTAAATCAAAGCGAATAGTTTCACAGTATTTGGGCGCCGAGTTGATGTAAGACATTAAATAAGAATAATATATTTGTAAAATCTCAGTGAATAAATTTGAAGTAGTTATAGGATATATATCCTCGAAAAAGCTTGGATCAGATTGCCAGGCAAAACGTTGGATTTACTTCAAATTCATTCGCCGAGATATTACAAATATATTATTCCTATATAATGTATTAATTGTTTGGTATAAATAAATGATATAATTTGTTTTTTCTGTTAGAGCTAATCACACTTAGAAAAGTCAACAAAAATAGTTGTTGAAGTTAGACAATAGCACCATAGGATACCGGCTCAGTGGTTTAGTGGTTAAGCTCTCGGGTGCGAACCTGGTAAGTCCTGGGTTTGAATCTCGCCAGATAGGATCGTGGATGCGCACTGTTGAGGAGTCCCGCAATAGAACGAAACGGCCGTTGAGTGCTTCCAGGCTTTCCATGGTGGCCTAGCTTCAATTGACTCACGATTTCAACTATATAAAACCTAGTTTATGTCAAGTAGAAGAAATTATTTTTATGTTTAGGAAATTTTGTAATAACTGTTGTTTATTGATATTCGTTTTACTCTTATAGTATTAGATAATTAAATGAACATCATAGAAAAACGTCGATAGAGGTTTTTGTTATTCTGGTAGATCTTCAATTTTGAAGTAAATGATCTAGATTATGGTATAAAAACTCACACTAAATAATGTCAAGGTCATATAGGTGACTATTGACCTGCTGACATGTCTACTTTGAGAAGAATAAGACAATACTGACTGATAATTAAGTAATAATTAACGCTACGTTTGTTTTGACCTGGTACTGATAGAAGTTTAACTTTCAAGTTGCCATGGTTGTTTTATATAGATAACCATTTCTTATCATTCGACTGATTTTGAAATTGTCTCATTATTATCAGCTATAATCCAAACAATAAACAATTTTGGGTAGAATTAAATGTTTATACAACATTTCGACATCTACCAAAGATAAAGGAGTATTAATCTAGATGCCCAACAGCTGCATTCTAGCAATACGGAGTATTAATTTTATACACCCTTTTATTGATATGTGACCCAACTGTTCTATTCACTCTGGATTTCTCAGTAAAAGTAAATGAAGCTGTTAATAAAGCGTATTATGAAACTGTCAACGATTAGGTAATTAATATTTTAAAACATCGAACAACAACAATTGAGAATTCTTGGTAACCTATGAAGTACGTCTACATTTCGATCGTTTACCGTAAAAAAAGTCAGAATGAACTAGAAGAATTCAAGGAGTGATATGACTTTCCGATTCATTTTTGACAACATTCTTATCTAATGAAATAAAGAATATTTCTTTACAAGAACACGTAACACGTTGAATAAATTGATGAAGGTTTTACTGGATGTTAAAGTGGCAAATTTCAAATAAGTATGCAGTTATTTTTAATTTTTAATCTTCCTACTAAAAATACACTGTTAACATCAGTAACAGAAATACTTTCTTTCCAATGGTCATTTGACATTTAAGAAAAAAAACATTTTCTCCATATGCATAACAATGGATCACAGCCAGATGAAAACGTTTTAATTCACAAATTAATAGAAAATATATTCGGTGTTGTGTAATAAATTGGAAAACAAAATACCCCTATGGTGAACGAAAACACAAGTGGGGACAATCGAATGTATTGGAACACAAATGTAGAGAACATCAGTAAAATATGAGAACTATATAGTAAATAATCCATTCGCAAACTGTCAATCAATCGTCTCATACTTGATTATTCCTTCCTTTCTACACCAATCATTCTTTGTTCATGTTCTCTTTTCTTTGATCTTCCTAACATTCTGCCTCCAGACATTTCACTTTCAGTTGATAACACATACTACTTATATCTGTCGACATCAGTATCACACATCACAGCCCGGCTGGTTCTATCATCAAGTGGAATGTTTTTTACATTTATTGATGAATCCAACCGGACATTTTAAGTATATTTTTGCATTTAAGATCCATTTAACAATTCAATATTTGTAGTTTATTGGGTCATTGTATTTTCAGATTTTGCATTGTAATTTTCATGAATGGGTAAACGGAGATGAACTTGTATTTTTGTATCTGTGTATTTATTCTATTCTTAATAACACCCTGTGGCGGTTTGTAATGACGTTGTGTTGTATGAAAACGTTACTTCTAAAAAAACATTGGTACTTAGATTATTATTGACCAGAATAAATATTTTTGTAATAAGAGATAAGTTCAATTATAGCTCCTAGACATATTCTACGATATTACTTATATATCTAAATATTTTTTTAGAAATCTATCGATATTATAATTGCAAGTAAACTACTCAATATGCTTGTACAACAATAACTATTAGTATTCGATAGAAATATTTTCAACTTTAAAAAGGTGTACTTAGAAATACAGTGTATGGGTGCGTAAATAATGCAAGTTTACATTGCCTGATCATTTTAATTACATAGCAGATGAGCTGTCTCTTCTATCACACACGCAACAACAAATGCACGAGAAAGTGGTCAGTGTAGCAGCAGTCTCAGCAGCAGTAGGTCTCAATATACACAAACGGAAAAGCAAGATTCTCCGATACAACGCAACATGCATCAATCAAATCACACTTGACGGAAAAGCTTTTGAGGATGTGGAAACCTTCACATATTTGGGCAGCATCATTGATAAACACGGTGGATCTGGTGCAGATGTGAGGGCGAGGATCGGTAAAGCAAGAGCAGCATATCTACAATTGAAGAACATTTGGAACTCAAAACAATTGCCAACTAACACCAAGATCAGAATTCTCAATACAAATGTCAAAATAGTTCTACTGTATGGAGCGGAGACGAGGAGAACTACGAAAGCCATCATCTAGAAGATATAAGTGTTTCTCAACAGTTGTCTACACAAAATACTTCGGATCCGCTCGCCAGACACTATCAACAACACTCTACTGTGAGAAAGAACAAACCAGATCCTATCCAGAGGAGGGAGAAATGAGGAAGAAGTGCTGGAAGTGGATACGACTCAGATTGAGGAATTCACCCAACTGCATCACAAGGTAAGCCCTCACATGGAATGTTTAATGTCACAGGAGAAGAGGAAGACCAAAGAACACATTACGTCGAGAAATGGAGACAGACCTGAGAAAAATGAACGAAAATTGGATAGAACAAAGAAGGAAGTCCCAGGACAGTGTGGATTGGAGAATACTGTTCGGTGGCCTATTCTCCATTGGGAGTAACAGGCGTAAGTAAGTAAGTCAATTACATAGCAAGACATATGATTCATTTTCATTCATAATATTTCTGAATATTTTATCACTTTTAGATGTCAAAACATAATCGTTATACGTTTACAATTGTAATTTAGCTGGGATTTTTCTTCCTTAATGTCCACTTTAGGTAAACTAAGGTAGGAAAGATTTTTCATCTGCGAGAAAGATAGTTGACCTAGATAAAATAAGTACATCTTGTATTAAAGTGTGTTTTGGTTATCTGTTGGAATTTCTAAAAGTCAAATGATTGAGAGTGTAGTTTATGTAAACTATCTAAAAGTTTTACGGTAATAGTTTAAATATCGAGGTGTGTACTTGATTACTGTATTAGTAAAGACCAAGTAACCAAAAAAAATTTGATAAACAAATATTTTTTTGAAAGGAACTTAGTAGGGTTGGATAACGGCAAGAAATAATTAATTGATATAGAATTGATAGTATATGGCTAGCAATATAATTCATGATACTCATTTTGTCCTATTATAAACTCGTCAACTGATTATACCAGTATCCTGATGTTGGTGTCCACTTCCAGATTTAAACCTAGCATCTTTTGCTTCAAACGCCAACTCGTTATTAAATTAACGACTCAGTTCACACAATGATTCACTTGTGCAACGTATATAATGTTAATCTTACTTCGATAGCTTAAATATTTCCATTGTTGATATGACTGAATGTATATTAATCTTAATTGGTATGAATGCATAAACTTGCTTCATAATGACAAATCTCAAGACAGGATGCACATATTCTAACTAATGTTGATTAAAAAAAATCAGTCTCATTATTCATAAGAGGATAATTTAAACTATTACAAATTAAATGAATTGGTTAAAATCAACTAATAATTGTGTTTTCACAAAACGCAAACCAATGTTGATAAGAAATACAATTATAACACACAGTAAATCTTATAATTTACTTCAATAAAATAAATAGAAATCAACGTAAGCAATTGGTTTTTAGGCTTTCACAATTTTAACTATTTTTTTCCAAATACAAAATCATTTAATGGTTATGTTGTGATGATAGGGTTATGAAGTAAAACATGTGTCGAGGCGATCCTCTTCCAAGAATTAATAAGTGGATTCAATATTTTTTTTACTACTTAATAAATGAATAATGAATGTAAGAGTGGAATTTCACATAAAATGTTCTTTTAAGCACCTAAGTTTATTAACATTTGTCTATCGTGAATATGTCAGTGTGGAGTATCCCAAAATACCAGGGGTGAATAAAGCAAATTTAGTATAAGTTAAGGCCTGTAGTGTATTCTTTAGTGAAAATCACACTCTTATATGTAGTAATCATCAAATAAATGGGAAAAATACCTAGAAATACTTCAGACCACACATTTATTGAAAAATGATAAACATATGGCTAACGTCAGCTGAAACACCGAGAAAATATATTGAGAATTCGAATATTTCTATAAAATTACCAAATACATACTGGATGCTGAGTATTTTAATATCTGAATAACACATACTAAATATCATTAATCATAATAACAGTAAGAATATAAACTAGAAAGATATACTTTGTGAGATAAAATTGGACTTCTAATTCATACAGATTTTATTGAGATATTATCTACTGAATACTAGGAATCCCTGTCAGTTTAGAAGTAATCTCTCAGTCTTGAACAGCTTTA